TAGACCAGAAAATGATTTTGATTTATGTTCGTGTTAAGGTCTGTGGTGATAAATGTGGCGACCAAGACCCCAATTGCGATTAATATTTGTTTAAACCTCCACCAACAGTTTCCTTATGCAACCACATTTAAATTCACTAGATCCAGATAAAAAAATGTTATTTGGATCTGCACCAAATTTCACACACTCGTGAATATCAGTCACCTAAACCTGTCTCTCCATCAAGATCCATGAAATGATTGAAAACGTTAAAGAAACGTCCGATCTCACAATGTTAGAGATGATTTAAGCTTTTTTCAGTCGCAAAATCAGCTGAGTAGTTTTGGGTTAATCCTGGAATGAACACCTTCCTTGTGGAGGCGACTACTTGTTCATCAGTTTGAGTCTGATAACAACTGTTAGTACTAAACCTCTGTATCAACAGGTGAGTTCCTGGGTGACGTGGCTGGTCCTGACTGCAGGATCCATGGAGGAAAAGAGGGAGGTCTTCTCCTACCTGGTCCACGTCGCTAAGTGCTGCTGGAACATGGGAAACTACAACGGCGTCATGGAGTTCCTGGCAGGACTCAGGTTCTTCACACTCTCCGATATGCTCAAATAATCCTTCTGTGCTCACACATGCATGCAGCCGACTGACGGCACCTTTGTCTGCCAGGTCTCGCAAGGTGCTGAAGATGTGGCAGTTCATGGACCAGTCAGACATCGACACCATGAGGAGCTTGAAGGACGCCATGGCTCAGCACGAGTCCTCATCTGAGTACAAGAAGGTGGTGACCAGAGCTCTGAATATCCCAGGATGCAAGGTGGGTTCATGTTACTTAAGCAATATTTGGGAATGTGGGTCCTAAGTATACATTTGATTAATTTACTGTATGTTCAATCATTTCTGTGTCCTGTCCCTGCATCATAGGTTGTCCCATTCTGTGGCGTTTTCCTGAAGGAGCTGAGTGACGCATTAGACGGGACAGCAAGCATCATCAGCCTTAAACCACCTCCAGACAACACAGAGGGCGCTATAGAGGTACAGTAAACACCTGCAGGTTGACACACATTTCTTTATATCTGATCCAAGCTGTGAGACATGTCCTCTTCTCTCTCTATAGTTTGTGTCCGACTACAGCGGCCAGCACAACTTCATGTCACGGTCCGGTCCCAACGGTCTGCACGTCCCAGAGAAGGAAGCTACTGTTAGCAACATCCTCCAGATTATCAGGTACACGGCCTCCTCGTAAACATGTCACGTAAAGGCGTCTTCAACCTTCCGATTTCCTTCTGACTCCCCTTCCTCTGCTCCTCAGATCCTGTAATCGCAGTCTGGAAGCAGAGGATCCCGATGAGGCGTCCACCAGTCCCTCCTCCACTGGCCCGTCCCCTGCATCAAGGAGCAACTCTTTCAGGGACCGTTGCCACAATCAGTCAGTGCCTGTGTTTTTCTCCCCTTCTTAAGATTTATATCTTGTTTACCCCAAAGACAACGTTATTTTAAATGTGCAGCCTCATGTGATGAACCTTGACTCTGTTGGCGGATACCTAGAGAGTGAAAGATGATCTGTTTTTACTGCGTGTGGAGGATGTTGTGCAAGTTGTGGCTAAGCTTTGAAGACGTATAATAACGGCATCAAATGGCACATTCATGGAGACTCTAGGACGTCAGTTGATTGCAGGGTTGTTTTCATATTTTTCACATTTGAGCTTTTTTTTTTTTAGTGTGGAGGGTAGAACAAATTCTTCTTCCAAACTCAGTTTCTGTGACTAGAATATATATATGTAGTTTATTTTTATACTTATTTACAAATCCTAAGGCAGTTTTAATTCTTCAATCCGTATAAGCAAACTCAAAAAAAAAGTGTTTTCCTTCCTGCTTAAGTTCTGTGTCCAAACTTGGTTCACAGCCAATGACTTGAACACAAAATAAGAGGAAATGGTCTATATATAAAAAAAATTTAACGAAACACTATGAACTCTGCTATGCTGTGAATAATAGGCTGTTCTGGGCTGTCACTTTGTTTGGACGCAGAGTTGATGAAAAGACATTTAACAAAATGACACCTCAGCTGTAATAAGACAACTGCAATATAATGTTTTTCAAAATAATAAAAGTTGATTATTTTCTTATGTAATGGCACATATATGAAGACGTGTGTCATTGGATTCCTCAAACAGTATAATACATAATAAACAATAAAGTGTTCAGTACATTGAAACTAAACATAGATATTTTGCAGCGCGGATAAACTGGACGCTCGTTCCTTTGCTCATCAGCTTCATTTGATCTGAAATTAAATAGTTGTGACTACAGTGTAAAAAGAAAGGTGTCCCTCTCCAAAGCCTCGAGCGTATTTACAGGTTGTTGGTAGATGAACTGATCTTCACCTGAACACAGAGAGAAGCGATAACAGGTTTGTTTCCTGTCGGGCCGGATGGAGCAGAGCTCTGCTACTTTTCACTTCACCGGTGACATGATAGAAAACTGATTTCATTTTAAGCTTGTGCTGTGTTGATCGTGTTAAGGAAACCTGGACTGTCTTCTCTTTGTTTTGAGACAGCTTTCTGTGATTCAGAGTTATCGTTTCGCGTTAGAGCGCAGGATAACACTACTTGAGTTTGGCTCTGGGCACGCCGCTCATCCGCCGGCACTCGGATAGAGATAAATATCATCTTTCTTACTCAGAGAGGTTAAGGAGTTATTTTCCAGTGTTCCTGTTATCTCTTTCTTTTCCCCGTGTTCCTTTTATCTGTCCCAGCAGCATCCTCCTTTTTCTATTTTTTCTTTTGCACCTCTGACCTTTCTCAAATCTCCTGTCCTCCTTCTCTGTCCCACTCTCCCGCTCTGTAGTTCCCACTCGTTTAGGATGCTGCCAGAATCAAACCGTGTCTTGTAAGTGATTTTCAGAGTTTCAGGAGTTTGAGCATTGTTGGCTAACCTCACCCAGACACGGTTTCAGTTGCAGTTTGGGTAGAAACGTGTCAAGTAGTCGAATAATGTGCAAATGCGGAAAATGCATGATGCTGTTTTGCTTGTTCAACTGCTGCGCTACAGTACAGAGAACATCTTTGTGCTGTTTACTGTAGATGCAGGTCGTCTTCTGGTTATGAGTAGACGTCAATGCATTTTCCAAGTAACTGCTTCCCAGAAAATCATTGAACAAAAACGTAGACACTTAATTTTCCTGTTTTTATTTTTAGCTTTTTTCCCTCCAACCTCATATCGAAACCAACTTCTGTCCATATTTAGATTCATGGTCGGGGACTTGTCGGACTCAGATGGAGACTTGTCGTCTGAGTCGGTGGTGAAGGAGGTGGAGTTTCAGGGGACAGAGGAGACGCACCGAGCTTTCAGCCACGGCACTGAGCTCATTCCCTGGTATGAAACACACACACACACACACACAGACACACACACACACATACAGCTTTGCACCACTGACACCTCACACTCTGTTTTCACGTCTTTAGGTACGTCTTGTCACTACAACCAGACGTCCACCAGTTTCTGCTGCAGGGGGCCACAGTCATCCACTACGACCAGGACAGCCACCTCACTGCACGCTGTCTGCTGCGACTGCAGCCTGACAACACAACACTCTCCTGGGGTAAAATATGACAGAGATTCATAAAAGACACAATTATCTCAACTACACCAAAACACTTATTTATTCTGCCACTGAGTCCATTTCTTGTTGTTGAGATATTTTAAACATGATAAATGTGTTTACCTCACAGATAGACGAGCCCCTCTCTCATTATTACTCCTTAAACAAAAACTGGCATCTCTACTATACAAATGTCCTGTGTAGTTGTTATGTTGTAAACCTGTTGATGTGTTTATCCAAAGGAAACATTTATTTTGTAACACACTCAGTTTAATCTGATACACATCTGATTGCAGATGTGCACATTTGTGCCTTTACTACATTTCAGACACGTCATAAACATGTTGATTTACGGCAGGTAAACCTCAGAGCGGAGGAGCCTCCCCTCCGGAGCAGCCTCTGGGGTTAGGACAGACAGTCGTGGCAGGACTGGCTGAAGGCCTGCTGGACCTGGGAGTGGTGAAGGTTTGTTGATGTCGTTTTGATGTGGGCTGCGAAAATCCTTATCTTAACCCTCAGACCCTCAAATCTAGTCAAAAAAATGTAATTTGTATATTTCCTATGTCAAGAAAGTTATGTTTTCATCTGTATTGATTGGTTTGTCCGTTAGTTTGAATTTCGCTTTCTTTAACATGGCAATTTATATGTGTACATACAGTATTAAGAGTTCTAGTTTTGTGGTAGAAAAGCATATTTTACAGTCATGGCTGAGACTGCACATGTAATAATATTGTTATTTGAATGTGCAGGCGGTGTTTCTGGGTCACCCGGGAGTGGACGTCCACGCCGTGTGTCTGCAGAACAAGCTGAGTCAGATGACGGTGGAGGAGAACGGTCTCAGCCTCCTCTACGGCCTCAGCACCACTGACAACAGGTTTGTTGGCATGTTATCGCATCCAGTAGTTGAACAGTAGTGCATTGCTTCAATGATAACTGATAAATGAGGAATTACTTTCAATCAATACTTTCAATAATCTCTTGGAAATAGGCTGCTGCACTTTGTGGCCCCCAATCACACGGCTCGAGTGCTGCACAGGGGCCTGTCAGAGCTGGTGAACGCAACCAGGAAGTTGAAGAAGTTTCCCGACCAGCGGTTGCAGTGGCTGCGGAGGCAGTACGTCAGTCTGTATCAGGTGAATACACCCAATGGTCTGGTGGCTTTTAGCTTTTTCCTTTTGTTTCTTTATTGCTCTTTAACACAATGATCCCAAAACATTTTCAAATCAGCGTTAGTGTTAGTCCTCTCGGCCATTTTTCAATTCATTGTGTTTTCGGATTTGACCCTGATATTCCTCAAGGGCCTGAGGAAAGAATGAGGTAATTTAAAATAATACCATAAGTACGAAATGTCATTTACTTTTGTGGATGTGACTCAGCGGTGAGCTTATGCGAGTCGCCTTCAGCTAAAGTGAATATATGTGTTTGATTTCTCTCCCTCTGTGTTTCTGTCAGGAGGAGGGAAGGTACGAAGGCCCCACACTGGCCCAGGCCATCGAGCTGTTTGGTGGGCGCAGGTGGAACATGAGCACAGGTGGAGCGGAGAAAGCTGGTGCCCAGAAGAACAGCCCTCTGAGCATGAACGAGAAGGCCAAGAAGAAGAAGAAGGTCCTTGTCAGGGTCGGTATTTATACATCATGTCAAGTCTAACAGCTCAAACAGATTTAGGGATTTTATGGTTGAACACAGTTGTTGGATTGTTTTTAACCGAGTGTTTCACACACAACAAACAGGGAGACAGTGGGGACGCAACAGATGACGAGATGGTTTCCAGGAAAACGCGGAGCTGCAAGGAGGGACTGTACCGGAATGGACCGGAGTCTGACAGCATCGACCAAGAAGATCCAGGTGACATTTTCAAGAACCAATCAAATTTGCAGAATAGATCAAAGCTCTTAAGATGTATGCTAAGTGACTATTCACTTTGAAAGGTACAAGGTGAATTAATTTGAGGAAATCCAGAGATGTATTAAATTAAAAACAAATCCTAATTAAATGACATTATTTCCTATAACTGTTTTATGTCCATAGACGACAACTTCCCTGGACCCTTCTCCCTCTCATCCAATAAGAGCCCAGGATTGCTTGCCTCTTCCTCGTCCTCCTCTTCCTCCTCCAGTATGGCAGGGTCCAACATGTCCCGTCCACAATCCTCTCCAATCCTTTCAGGAACCGGCAAGTCGCAGCCAGGGTATGTACAGCGTGTAAACGAAGACACTTTGGCCCCACTGATATTGAGAAACCTTCCTTCTTTGATTTCAGGCTAAGCCATTGTTTCCTTCTTCTCTGTGGGTTGTAGGACGTGGAGCAGCAGATCGTGGCACGGTCGAGGAAAAGGCTGTTTCAGAGGCTTCCAGAACCTCATGATTTCTGACAGCACGATGAGCTTCATCGAGTTTGTGGAGCTCTTCAAATCATTCAGGTACACGACAGTAAAATATTCTACTGCAAGATTCACATGTCACGTTTCGATTCTTTGATTTCTTTTATCGTTTCTGTTTGATCCAGTCAAACTTACACCTTCAAACACCATCATCATCAAGCATCAAACACATTTTTCTGGTTATATGTCATTTCTAATATTCACTCGTGGACCGGAGCGTTGATATATGTCATGATCATTTCAGCAGTTTTCCTCAGTTCACTCTCTCCCTCTGTTATAATTGTTGTGGTTTTATCAATAGCGGCAAAAGACGATGAGATCAAACAAATTCAGAAAATGTTTCTCAGGTTAATCACGTCCAGGATACTTTCCAAATTTTCTTCTCTGTATGTTATTTAACTTCTATAATATTTTCCCATGTCAAATCAAAAGAAACAGTGTTTTGCTTTGATAAGAAAGAGATTATTCTCATACCAGTACTCCCTCATTTTTAGAATGTAGACTATTTGCTCATCTGCAGCCCAACAGTTTCTTTTTAGACTCCACACTTGCTTTAGTTTCATCCATGTGGAGAAAGAAGAACAGCATCTCAAAAACCTTAGACCATAAAGACGGCAGATGGAATTTATGCAGCATATATAGCCGTCTAGCCAAGTTCATGAAATTTTCATTATGAATCGTGATTTGCAAACTCCAAGTCATGATCAAAGTACCTAAGAAAAACTTTTTTTGATTTCCTCCACAGCATCCGCAGCAGGAAGGACCTGAAGGAGCTGTTTGACACCTTCGCTGTCCCCTGCAGTCGATCGAGTCCAGAGTCGGCTCCTCTCTACACCAACCTCAGGATAGACGACAGAGACACGGGGCTGCAGCCGGACCTCGGTATTAGATCAAAACTTGAACGAAAAACATTATTAATCTCTTTCTGTCCCGGTCTCACTAAATCTCCTCCTCCTCCTCTCCAGACTTACTGACCCGCAACGGCTCCGATCTCGGCCTGTTCATCCGGACGAGGCAGCAGATGTCGGACAACCAGAAGCAGATCTCGGACGCCATCGCGGCAGCCAGCATCGTGACCAACGGGACGGGCGTGGAGAACGCATCACTGGGTGTCTTGGGATTGGCTATCCCCCAGCTCAATGACTTTTTAGTCAACTGTCAGAGAGATCACCTGAGCTACGACGAGATCCTCAGCATTATACAGGTAGAGAGCGAGGCCTGGAGGGGTGAAGGGACTGATACACTAATGCAAGGATGACATGAAACATTTTATTGACCTGCAGTGGATGAATAGCTGGTTAAGAAGAAGATGTAACGTGGTTATAATGCGATCTGTATTGTTGATGGATTATTCTTTGCTTTTCTCTTGCAGAAATTCGAGCCCTCGTCAAGCATGAAGCAAATGGGCTGGATGTCATTTGAAGGTTTTGCAAGGTAGAGTAAAAAATTTTAATATTTCAAAATACACTGCATAATAAAATAGTTAAATGCTGAATTCAAACGACGTACATATCATATTGAATTATGAAAACATGGTGAATTAAGGTACATTTGTTTTAAAATGTACACATTTCTGTTATACAACACTTTGATAAAGATCTTAAGTCATGGCATGTAATCCGTTCAACAACCTCATGTATTGAAATCTAATATATTTATATATATTTCTCTGTCCGCACCAGATACCTGATGGACAAGGAGAACTTTGCTTCTCGTAATGAGGAATCACAAATCAACCAGGAGGAGCTGCACTATCCTCTGTCCTACTACTACATCGAGTCCTCTCACAACACGTATCTGACCGGACACCAGCTCAAGGGAGAGTCCTCTGTTGAGCTGTACAGTCAGGTCAGTCCGACAATCACCTTCTGTGTTTTTACACAGAGGATTTCAGATGTTTCTTATCCATAAATCCAGTTTTTAAGTGTTTATATTAAGTCGTGTATGTGTTGGCCACTCAGGTGCTGCTTCAAGGCTGCAGGAGCGTTGAGTTGGACTGCTGGGATGGAGATGACGGCATGCCAGTTATTTACCACGGACACACACTCACCACTAAAATACCCTTCAAGGTCAGAAAATGCATTTTACTTAATCAGAGTTGGTTAGTTAATTATCAATTACATTTGAAGCTGTATCTAATAATAAACCTCTTTAAGTGTTGTTTTCTCAGAGTTTCTAAACTGAAATATCTCCCATGATCCTCCAGGATGTGGTGGAAGCCATCAATCGGACTGCGTTTGTCAATTCGAACATGCCCGTCGTCCTGTCCATCGAGAACCACTGCTCGCTCCCTCAGCAACGCAAGATGGCGGAGATCTTCAAGGTATGTTTCCATTCACCCATCAATACATTACGCATAATGCTTTTTCTTTATGGGTCGGGAAGGGGGAGACTGGAGCCATTGGTTATTTTCCCGAAACTTTCCAAAGCGGCTATGTGTAAGAACGCAAATGTCTAAGAAAGTTGCTTTGGACATTTGCGTTCTGGAATGTTCACAGCGAGCGAGTGAGTGAGTGAGCGAGTTGATGATGATGATTCTAACACACGATGGACACAAACCTGGAAGAACACAAATATCTCAGGGTGAAAAAGAGCAGCCGTACATGTAGAACATTTATTTTCTCGTTTCTGGACCAGATTTTCTCAGCTGCTTGTGGCATTGACGCTGGCAGACGTCCAGTCAGAGGCTCACTTTTTTTTTTATCTTCATCCTACAACTTCTCCTCTGAGTTGTATACTCAAGGCCGCACATATCTGGGCATGGGCAGATACATCACAGAATATCATTGTGCTTTCATCTAAGAAAACTTCCCAGCATTTCATCCATCCTCCCTGGAGACCGGCTTCTGAGTGGCTTGATAAAGAAAAGTCTTTCATGTTCAGACAGCTTGATGCCTGCGGGCAGCTTATGTCAACTGAGGGCTTGTTTATTTGTAATGTTGTTTTCTGTTGATAAAAAGCACTTTCATTTTTTACTTGTGGTGGATTCCTTCAGCAGAGTTTTCCTCTCCTCCTCTCACGTCATCTGTATTTCAACCTGTAAATTGATGCGTCTGTCGTGTTCAAACTTTGACACGCTAGACGGTGTTCGGGGAACGTCTTGTGACGCGCTTCCTCTTCGAGAGCGACTTCAGCGACGACCCTCATCTGCCGTCGCCGCTGCAGCTGCGGGGGAGGATCCTCCTGAAGAACAAGAAGCTGAAGGCCCACCAGGCGCCGGTGGACATACTCAAACAGAAGGTTTGAGAGAAATCCTCTCTCTCCACACATGCACACACCGTAGACTGTAAATACAGATGGACAACACTTCTACACGTCCTCCGATACCCATAAAGGAAGCCGACATATTCTTTCACCCCATTTTTAAATCATCAAATATCTTATCAAAGCCAAACTCACAGGGCATTGAACACTTGTACAAATAAGAACTTCCCAAAATGATCCAGAAGAGTTCATCTGTGTATTTTGAGTCCCATCCACTAACATGGGAAGATTTATCCCCTATACTGCAGCCGGCCACCAGGGTGCGATCAAGACGCTTTGTCCTCACTTTTGGGGAGCCATCATGTCCTCCATCTTTATATACAGTCTGTGGTCGACACACACACACACACACACACACACATATGAACGTGTACATAATCCATTGCTGATATAAGTGATATTATAATGGTGCTCTCAGGTAGCATGAGTACATAGAATATTTAGTATGTTCGTCAGAGTGCTGTCACTCTTAAATAATTGATGTTAGCGAGCTCAAATGTAAAAATCCCATCACATCATTTTGTGTACTTCAGCACATAAAGAGAAGACCCTGCATATTTCCAGGTAATCAATAGATATACATCGTACTTCAGGTATATCTATATGACAGAAGTTTACCTCTCCACAGGCTCACCAGCTCGCCCACATGCAGGCTCAGGCCAGCAACGGGTCGCCGGGGGTCACGTCACCTGGCAACCACGCCAACGAGGAGGAGGAAGAGGAAGAAGACGAGTACGACTATGACTATGAGTCTCTATCAGATGGTAAGGATGAAGGTATCTTCAGCTCAAAATCAACATGAAACTGAACTAACGGACCTACAAGGGTCAAAAACCAATCAATCATACGTGCACTCTTATCTTGATTCATCTTCTGTTAGTTTTGATTGTTTCTCTTTTTTTTCCAACACAAGTCTCTTTTCATGTTTTCACTCCCTTCCTTTCCTATTTTATCTTTCCCCCTTTAACCCAAACCCACTTAGCTGATGTCCTCACAGCCTCTACTGCCTCATATGGCCTGGAAGGTAAATGCACAGCTCTGATGCGCTTCCCTCAGTACCAGTGTTTCCCTCTAATTTTGTTTTGCAGTGGATGTTTTCTAACTGATTCTTTTACATTACATCTATAGTGTGATAGTATTATTCTTCCTGATATTGTAACTTAATGATTGAGTTTTTTTAAGATAATTACCGTCACTTGCTGTAGTTGTCTACCGCTGCAGGATAATTAAAGAGGAAACATTGGTGTGTGGATGTTTGCTACTGATCTGCATCGCTTACTGCAAACTGACTCTTGTCTGTACCTGTAAACCGTGTATGAGCTGCTATCCCCCTGCTGTAGGAATGGAGAAAATCAGCTGCTGTTTGCTATCAAAATTGAAATTTTACAAATTGTTTAATATGCAGAAACCTATAAAAACTTAAAATAAGTCAATTTGATAGTAAAATAATCTGTTGTGGAGGTTGTGTTGTTTGATGGATCTTAAAATTAAATGGTTGTTCATCTTAAAAGTAACCTCATAAGCTCAATATGCTAACAGAGAAGTTCTCCTCTGTAATCACTTTAAATCATAATGGTTGATGGTGCCGTCAATCATAGTTATCACTGCTGGATTGTTAACAGTGGAAAGTCAGAGACACGAGTAGTGTTGGTTATGATGTCCACTTGTTTTATCACATTTATGTAACTGCAGCCTCACGATAAGCAACCCAACCTCCTCCTGCCTCGCTGCAGCAGTTCTTCTTGTGCCGTGTCAGTGCAAGTGACTTTGCTCACATGCAGCCTGATCCATCTTCCTTTTTGAAATCAAATTGCCTCAACATGTGTCACCAGAGTGTTGTTTTATGTAGCAGTTGTGATGTGCGCTTGTGTTTCGTCTCTGTGTTTGGGGTTTTCAAACATTCCACTGCCCTGGATTCATCAGTCCTCAGTCATGGTGGGATGGGAAAACTGTTATCTCTTTTTCCACAAAGGCATCAAGTCCTGTTTCGAACCCAGCGCCCTGATATTGAACCATTTTTTCTCAGCCAAAAAAATTAAGTGGTTCCTGAGTGGCACCAGCACTTTGCGAGCCTAGGAGAAAGCACTGCCTGCATGAGTGGCTGACGGTGACTAAAACTTTATTTTGACCACGAATCATTTTATGTTTTCTGCTGAGATTATGGTTACGGATGCCAAAGCCAAGCAGAAGTGGTCCGTGGGGGAAACCAGAATAAGTTAGAAGGACCTTCAAGGACAAAGCCTGCGATCGAGCATGTACAGAGAGAGATGGCAACAGCGAGATACAAACTGAAGAAACTGAAACGAGCAGACGATCATGTCATGTTTGAATGACAGTGTAGTTTTGCAAAGCAGGAGCAGCACCTCAATAGAGACCCTGTAGTCCGCCATTGTTGATGTTGTGCCTGGAAACCAGACGAGTAAACAGTGACAGTGACGTAATGATGTGGCTCGAGCCTGTGGAAACGCAAACTGGTTCTCAAAAGGTTCCCAAGTTGAGACAAATCTGAACCAGGACTAGCACCAGGTTCACTTTCACCCCTACACCATATTGATTGCGTTTGAATAGAAAAACAAAAAACACATTTCATACATTCCGATCGATCTTTTAACAACACAATGTCCGCCTGTTTTCTCTGTCTCCCACAAATGCCTCACCTCCCTCCCTCCACCCCTCCGTACTGTATTTGTCTGTGACCTCGCTAGTGGCTGAACATGCTCATCAGGGAAACAAAACAAAGCCATCTGGTTTCTCAGGCCCTGCGCTGCCCCCACTCTTAAAAAACACATCGGGGGGAAACTACCCTGTCCCGGTCCCAGCTCCGCTCCCTCCTCATCCTTCTGCTTGTCCCTGTCAGAAGACCTCACCGCTCATGGACCTTTAAGACATCTAAAACTCATAGCATGCTCCTGTGTCACTGCCCCCCCCCTTAAGCAAACCCTCCTCTAGTCAAATATTAACCAACCGGTCAGATATCAAGACATCCTGCTCCCTGACTGTCTCCATCTCTCCACTCTGCACAAACACTTGACTTCTAAACTGCCAAGTTGCCACCATCCGTCCCTTGTTTCCCTCCAGTGTCCGTCTGCTCCAGCTCACTCCTCTGGCTACTCTCTGCAGCCTGACAGCCGGAGTCATCTCTGCTGTTAAACCATTTTCTGAGGAGGAGATTCCACATGTCAGGATTTAAACAAAGCTGTGTATGAATAGGAAAAAAAAAAACAAGGTTGATAAGTTAGTGGTTTTGGCTGCAATGAGGAGGAGGAATGGAATCAAAAGTGAAGAACTCCCTTCTTCTCGCTCCCGTTTACAGTAAATAGACGTTTTCCTTGAGTAACAGTAAGTCCTGGGTGGATTTTGCTTTGCAGAAACGTGCTCATGAGCTCTGTGAGTATAGTCAGGGATGTGCTGGATCACTGCTGATGCTCGTCCCTTTATAATTATTCTCTAATTGTTCCCACATGCTCAAATATTTCCTTCCATTTCAGATGGATCAGATAAAGGCAGCTAGGGTTACAAAATAAAAGTCCTCTCAAAGATGTAATGACAATTATTCTTCTGTGGAAATATCTTCGAACATTTTTCCACCAACTTTTTAATGTAATTTTTTTGGTCTTTGGTGTAAATCATAAACTCGACATGCAACATCCCTTTAAACTGCAGTCAAGCTTTGACCTTATCAAAGTAACAAGAGAAATCGGGTTCCTCTCTTGAAATAAGGTTTTAAAAATAAATAAATTCCCAGATGCTTCTATATGTCTTACTAATGACTTCACATTAGCAACTGCAACACCAATACAAGTTTGAATTAACTGTGCAGGGGTTACTTTTAACAGAAATTTGTTTTAATATGATTACATGAATATAACTTGCAAATCTATTAGTTTGGACAATAATAGGAGATGTGTCCTTTCAATATACAACACATGAATATCATTTTTCTTTTATTCACAATCTTGTGATAAAATTTGTTTGTGCTGCATCTTCAGCTGTTTGTGTGCAACGCCCTCAGAAAATGACGCCTTCCCCCTCTTCTTCTTCTTCTTCTTCATTTAATAATCTGTTGTTTTGTGTGTATCATAGATAACATCCTGGATGACAAGCCAGAGGGGAAGAGCCCGGCAGACAAAGAGGAGCAACCTGTTGATGAAATCCCAAAGAGGATGAAGAAGACTGACAGCACCACGCAGAGCAAAGGAAAGGTAGAAGAACTACAGTGTTAATTATACTTTATACATATTATATACAACTCCAAATTCACAATAAAGAGCCTGTCTCATTGCTGATGTCTAAAATGACTAAACGTATGTATTTTGTTGTGTACTTGTGTATTATCCAAAATGATTCCAACAAACACTGGAAGTCCACAATATTTTTCAAGGCAGTGGTGGTGAAGACAATAAGTCCCATGATCCCACGCTGCTCCACAACGTCATCAACTAGGTCCTCAGTTATTGTTTCCTTTGAAAGATCCTGAGCAGCTGAAGTTACATATTCTCGGTTTGAAAAGATGAGTCAAGATAACAAAAAAAACATGTTCAGATTGAATTCAGTGTAAAAGTATGAAATTTGTTTAATAATCTGACTCAGAGGTTTTGAATGTATCTCTGCTGCTTTGTGTCTACTCTCTCTGGTAAAACGTTTACAGAGTTTCTCTTGTCCTGTGTCTCCCTGCACCTGTAGGTGTTTGACATGGAGCTGGGCGAGGAGTTCTACCTTCCTCAGAACAAGAAGGAGAGTCGACAGATCGCCCAGGAGCTGTCCGACCTCGTCATCTACTGCCAGGCTGTGAAATTCCCTGGTAGAGAGAAACATCATCATTCTGTCTCGTTGTCAAACACAGTCCTTTCTCTGCTTACACTCCTCATCCCTGATTGTTACTGTGTGCTCCCTGGTTTCCTTCTCTCCTTCGTGGATTCCTATGTCTCAGCTATGGATAAGCCTGGCGTCCTAATTCATTCGGCCTGTAGAACGTAACATGGATAATCAATTCCAAGCATTTCTGAGCCTGTTGTGCAGTTAAATTTAGAATTTTAGAATTATACAACTGCTTACGAGCGTAGGAGACGAGCTGTTTTTCGGCCAATCAAATTCTATAACCAAATGTTTCCTGTTTACTTCGTTCTGCCCAGTGCACATGAGTGGTGACGTGAGCATGGACGGGGATTTAAACCGATCGCTTTAGTTTGAAAACAAAATAAAATGTAGAATGTCATATCCCATGTAATATTTAAGAGGTCAAACATTTCCCGATGTTTCTGATTTTTTAAATTATTTTTTTGTTGCATGACGACATTCAATATCCACGTGTTCTATTCCTCTCCCACACAGGACACCCACTAAGATGATGACTTTCCTTCTCCCCATGGGAAAGATGTGGTTACTTTTGTGTGGTCACAAGTGGGCCACCACTTTCTCAAGCAGAGATATCAACGATTAAAGTGGTTAAAATGAGAGAATTGAATTCTAAAGACATAAAAAATGCTTTCTGCTCAGCAGTTCAGGATGTTTGACTCAGTAGCCTCATAAAATTCCTCTTCATTTCCTCTTTATTGGGAGCTATGTCCATTCCTTGCCACCATTTATCTTCATCGCAAATATTTCTTCTTGTCTTTTAGATATCCACCTCTTATCTCCTCTGTCCTCCCTAGAGTGTCCTCTCCTCCGCTCGTCTCCTCTTTGCTTTACGTGACATCTGCCCTCATAAACCCGCCCTTGTTTCCACCAGTATTTTATTTGTTTACTGTTTCCAGGGACCTGAGATCTGAGAGAGAAGCCAGGGCAACAGGCCCAGTTCAGGCAGACAGAACGCTGCTGTGTATTGTCTGCAGTGATTCCAGATGGAAGTGCCACTACTGAAACATAATAAATCATCTTGAAAATACTTGGCATTTCAAATATTCATGGCACATCTTTCCTTTAGTTAACCTTGGGAAATGAAACTGATTTGACTGTGTTACCTTCATCGGTTTTTCACAGATAGATTTTTATTATTACATTTTATTATGGCATCACTCAGTCTTTTATTCGCAGATATGCTTAAATGATTCTTGTAGGACAAAGGAACAAAATCCTCATTATGATGAAGTTTCAGCTTTTAGAGACGAAGGATTTATGTGTTTTCTTAAACAACTTGAAAGTAAAAAGGAGGAAGGATACTGATCATCATCATCATCATCATCATTATCATTGTGGGGTCTTCAGTGTGTCTGCGTTTCATTATTGACCACTTTCTCTCTCTCTCTCTCTCTCTCTCTTTCTCTTCTGTTTTCCTGTCGTGTGTGGGAAACCAGGCCTGTCCACGCTGTCTCCGGCCGGCTCCGGCAGAGGGAAGGACCGGGGGAAGAGCAGGAAGTCCATATTTGGCACCGCTCCGGCTCGCAGCGGCACAACAGGGGAGGTTGCGACCCAGAGCCGCACCCCTGGTAAAGGTACGCAGGGCGGGGGGGGGGGTTCTAAAAGTGTAGGGGAGCGAGAATATGATTTTTACATCCAATATATTTAGATACAGTATCTCACATTTTACTCAACCTATCAACACCAAACAAAAACTAGCACAGAGCTTTAAGTCAGCACTTTGGACTGAAGTTTGCATGTTCCCCTGCTGGTTGAGAAAAAAACCTTTAACCTGTCCTCTGTCCTGCCTCCAGGTGGCGCTGAGCGGCTCAGCTGGGAGGAGCAGCAGACGTCCCCCACCCTCAACCCCCCCACCTCTCTCAGTGCCATCATCCGCACGCCCAAGTGCTACCACGTCTCCTCCGTCAACGAGAACGCAGCCAAGCGCCTCTGCCGGCGCTACTCTCAGAAGCTGATCCAGCACACGGCGTGCCAGCTGCTCAGGACGTATCCCGCAGCCACCAGGATCGACTCCACGAACCCGAACCCTCTGCTCTTCTGGTTGCACGGTATTCAGCTGGTGGCGCTCAACTATCAGACCGATGGTGAGGATGAGAGGATTTTTACGGCACTTTTTGGGAATTCGGTGGTTTGCGTCACTCTGTATCGCCATCTAGTGGGTGGCTGCAACGTCAGCGCTCGTGTCCAAGATATTTTGGCTTCATTTCTTGACAGTGGGAGGAAGTGGACATGTGGCGTCCATCTTTTCTCACAGTTTATGGTCCCAAATGGGAGATAAAGGAGAAATGTTCTCTACTCAACAGGATAATGTTATATTTTTACCTCAGAAATGCTTTAAATCTACACGAGACAACTTTCCAAAACGTTAGATTACATTTGTTGACGACACTTGAGTCCATGATATATCTTAAAAGTGACACATAAAATGATTTGTTTGCTCTTTAAGGAATTATTTATCCCAAAGTGATCTTCTTTTTCTTATCCAGTTTTCTTCTTAATCCTCTTCCTGCCCATTTCTCTCTGTTCTTCTCTCTGTTCTTCTCTCTCTTCTCTCTACCTCTTGTCTGTGTTCGCCGTTTGAACTCAGACAGATTAAGTACCTTAAAAAAGAATCTCTCTCTCATTCTCTTTTTGATCCTTTCCTATTATTTTCTTCTTTCATCCCTTTGTTTTTTTAAAAATCTATCTCCACTGCTCAAATCATTACGTCAGGTTTTTATTTCCAAAACACAAAACATGATCAACCAGTTTTGTGCAAGGAGACACTGACGTGATCTTTTTATTCTTGTTCATCTATAACCAAAACTTAAACAATGAAAATAACTCCAGTTAAAGATTTCAACAATCAACGATAGAAACAACATTATCCTTCTTAATTATCTTTATCTTTTATCGTCTTCTTAGCTAATGCTCTTACTGTGGAGTGATGTTTGCTAAATGAATAACGAGATTGATTTCATTACCCCGTCTCCTCCTCACAGACTTGCCCATGCAGTTGAACACAGCGTTGTTTGAGGCCAACGGCGGCTGTGGCTACGTCCTGAAGCCGGCGGTGCTGTGGGACCGCAGCTGTTTGCTTTATCAGCAGTTCTGTCCGATGGATAGAGACGTGGAGAAGATGAGCCCGGCTGTCTATTCCCTCACCGTGAGTTAAAATGATGGATGGAGCTGAGCGGAGGATCACTCACTTTGATCACTTCCTCCTTGAGAGGTTTCTCTCTGCACTTTCACCCTCACTCCTTTTCATCTGCTCTTTTTGGTTTCCTGCAAATTCAATCATTTTCCTTACCTGCAACTGTCGGTTGGGATTTCAGAAGTGCTGCATTTTAATTTTCTTACAAGAATCTGGACTCCCTGATTTGGCTTTGTGCATTTGCAAATCGTTTTCTAATGCTGGTTCCATTCTTCGAAACATTTACTTAATTATAAACGCTGGTTTTTAAAGTGTCCAGAATATTCTACATCAGTTTGTATCTTCATATACACGGTGCAACAGCGCCCTCTGCAGCTACACATGGTGATTCATTCTGTTGGGCTCTGTGTCTGCGTGGTTAAAGGTTCAGTGCGTAGGATTTAGTGACATCTAGTGGTGAAGCTGCATGTTACAGCTGAATACCCCTCACATCACCCTCTCCTTCCAAACATGAGAGAGAACCTGTGGAAACCTTCAAGTGTCATCAAATGTAAAAATGTAAATGTGAAAGGCTCATTCTAGGGTAAAGAAAACAACAATTCATACAATTTAGATGAAACACAACAAAGCAACAACGCAGCAGCTGTGCGATTATTTCAGTTTTAAGTTTTCTGGCTGAATATCGGAGACAAACTCTGTTTTTAAGTCTTTTTAACTTATCTACAGTTTATAATAACTTCACACAGGAGATCGTTGGAAGTTACATAGAGTAAGAACAGACGTGAAGTAAGTCATTGAACCATCCGACTCGTTTTAAAGCTGCTTTTTTAAGGTAAAACGTTGCACGCCGTTGCTTTAACCTCTGAAATCTTTCTTTGCTCTGTTTTCTATCTTTCCTCCTTCTACCTGAAGCGACTGCTCAGACATTAGGTCCATTTTATTGTGTTTGGACAGTTTTATTGTGAAACGATCTTTATGTGTTTTTACTGTTTGACAGTCATGAACCCAGTTAATTCTATTTACCAGTAAATGAGGACCTCATAAAAGGTCTCCACTCATTCCTCTCTCTGTGGTTTTCATCACTTTGCCTCACTCTCTGCTCATTGTTTGAAAATAGGAAGTTAAAGCCTGAATATCATTGCACCAGATCTGGTTATGGGTTATGTGTTTTGAGTCTTTGCTGCCAGGTCAGAGTGACTCTACTGATTGTGGTTTGGCTTCAGGCCTTTTTTCATCAAAACAACTGAAAACAAGTCTGATTTAGAAACTGATGTAAAAAATAATCTCACACATGAAATTCTTCTATTATTTTATCTCTTTTTTTTTTTCTTCCAGATTGTCTCTGGTCAGAACGTGTGTCCCGGTAACAGCGCTGGCAGCCCCTGCATCGAGGTGGACGTGCTGGGCATGCCCGTCGACAGCTGCCACTTCCGCACCAAACCCATCCACCGCAACACGCTCAACCCCATGTGGAGCGAGCACTTCCAGTTCACCGTGCACTTTGAGGACATGTGCTTTCTGCGCGTCGCCGTGGTGGAGAACAACAGCTCCCAGACGACCGCTCAGAGGACTCTGCCTCTGAAAGCCCTGAAACCAGGTACGAGTCTGAGGGGGAAGAATAGATCCAAGCTGTAGATTGTAATAGAGACCGTTTATATGGATTAAAAATGATTCGCAGGACATGAATACGTCAATATGCACAAGTTTAAACCATGTGTTCAGACAAACAAGAGTTTCCCGTAATTTCCCAGATTTTTTTCATCGAGGTTCATTTTTGGCTCATTAACTATCCCACCTACGTTTTGTGGAAATCTGTACGATTTCATGAATGTTTTTTGTTGTGTGTGTTTCAGGTTATAGACACGTCCAGTTGAGGACACAGCACAATGAGCAACTAGAGGTTTCCAGCTTATTCATCTACAGCCGCAGGATAGAGGAGGGTCCAACAGGGGGCGCCACTCCCTCATCCTTGGTAAGACTTCCAAACGTCACAGACTGATTAATGTTTCGAATCATGTGGACTCAAACAAATCCTACTTTTTATTTCATCACTTTTGATTTTCTCTCTAAGGAGAAATCCGTCCAATGAAGCCGAACCGTCGTGACTGAGTGTTTCTTCTCTAACCTGAAATTCTCCTGCTCCCTCCGCAGCTGTTCAGCTCGGAGGAGAAACATGCGTCCCAGCAGCACTGGGTGACGGTGCACGGAGCTCCTGGTCCTGAACCCTTCACCGTGTTCTGTGTTACCGAGCAGACCACCGCCAAGCAGCTGCTGGACACGGTCAGTAACTGAGAAATAAAGATTCATGAGGCTTGAATAATGTGAGCGTAGCTTTTGGAAGAAGAAAGAAACTCCCACACAGACGTATTCTTCACATTAAGACGTTTTCTGGGATGACTTATGGAAAATGTGGCCTGTACATGTTTTGAGTTTGTCTTTCACTTATGGAGAACGCAGCAGGAACAGCCATCAACCCTGATCATTTATAGCTCCATTGGCGTCTTCTACATTAATGACACCTCTTTTTTATCCTCACATATTTGTATTCTTGTATTTTTTCTGTTTTGTGTATTTGTGATACAGCCCCTCAAGAAAATTCTGGGACAATGTCCGAACTCCAGCGTGTTAAGTTTCTCGTCTCACTCTCCCACAGGTTGTAGCATCAGCGGGGAATCCTTCCGATTACTTCCTTTGCGAGGAACGGGTCCCTCTGTTGAAGGAGCGCAGCGAGGTGAAGCGCTATGCTCAGCAGCGACCTCTGGCTCCGGAGGAGGAGGTGGTCAGACTGGTCTCCAGCTGGAGCACAGAGGACGGATACGTGGGGAGGATCTACCTCAAAATGAGAGAGGAGGTCTGTGCAAAGTCTGTTTTGTTAAATCAATCATTTTTACTGTTCTCAAAGAAAAAACACATCCAGCAAAAGTTTTTGTTTTTATCTGTTGAACGATTTAGAACAGTTTAATCTAAATGTCCTCTTGTGAACTTCATCTATTATTTCTGTTATTGAATTCAACATAAAACTAACTTAACCTTATTACAGTAATGCAGACTGGGCTCTATTATGCAGTCTCTGTCTCCCCCTTGTGGTCTCTTATTTTGATTTCTTCTTACAGAACTTGAATGAGCAGAACGCGGTGCTGGACGGAGAGGAGGAGGTGACTGTGGGAAGCAGAGATGGATCAGGAGGAGGAGAGGAAGACATGTTCTTTGTTCAGGTTCATGAAGTTTCTCCAGAACAACCCCACACTGTGATCAAGGCCCCGCGCTACAGCACCGCTCAGGACATCATTCAGCAGGTGAGGGCATTTATTTGACCTGAGGAAAGTTATTAAATCTGGTCTGAGGAGACGGAAATCATGTAAGTTTGCCAACAGAACATGGAATACATTATAAAAGAAAGCAAGACAAGGTTGTCTCACTTTCTGTTCTATTTTATATTCCTGTTGTCTTCCCCGTCTCTTGCTCAGACTCTGTCGAAGGCCAAGTATTCCTACAGCATCCTCTCAAACCCCAATCCATGCGACTACGTCCTGATGGAGGAGGTGACGAAGGACGTGAGCTCTAAGAAGTCCTCCGCCTCCAAGCCGCTGCAGCGGGTGCTGCTGGATCACGAGTGCGTCTTCCAGGCGCAGAGTCGCTGGCGCGGAGCCGGAAGGTTCATTCTTAAATTCAAAGAGCAGGTAGCTCTGAACGTGGCCCCCGGTTTTTAATTATAGAGACTTTTTAGTTTTTACTCTGCATGCAAACAAATGGAGCTGCTGTCAAAAACAAACTAACTTTGTATGTGCTTGCATAAACTCCTCTTCTGTTTCTCTAACTGTTAATTCACCTCTCATTTAACATTGTGTGATATTTATTGTGTTTGTGCTTTTATCCTGTTGCTGCTTTTGTCGTGTGTAACTTTTTGTTGTGTGCTCTGCTTTGTATTTGTGATTTATTGTGTAGTGCCTGTCTGTGTTTATTTTATTTATGTATTATCCCTTTACGCCTAAAGCCTTTTACACTGTGAACACGAAATATATGAAATTTGAACCTGTTCATAAGAATAAAGATTTAGCTTTTTTTTTTAAATATCAGTTTTTTTCTGATAACGAGGGTGAAAATTATTTTACAGAGAAAATTTCACACAACTTGAAAAAAACATAAATTCTTGTTTCAACACCTGCATCTTTCTGAAATCTTAAGAAACCTCCCGACATATTTCTGTATGTTTTTTTTTACCAGCGTCAGTAACATGAGTCTGTCTCTGCTTCCAGGTGTCACGGGAGGACAAGAAGAAAGTCATGTCCTTTGCCAGCGAGCTCAAGAAGCTGACCAGCCGCAGTCGCAGCATGACGACTGGCGGCGGAGTGGACGGTCCCGCCCAGAGTAAGGATGATAGAGCTGCATGCTGTGTGGCTCTGACTGAGCTCCAGGAGTGAGGCTCACACTCTGCCTGCTGTCTGTGCATGGGAAGGCAACAGAGGTACCTACACTATGTTGTCCCTAACATCTAACACCTAAAGGATAAAACATGAAGAAGAAAATGCAAGGTGTCGCAACACACAAACTAAAAGTACCTTAATACAAACTTTGTGTTTTCAATAATAAAAATACTAATTTTCACATCAGCTTTTTGGATTCAGGGTCTGAAGCAAGTTCATTTACTATAAGATGTTTAGCAAAGCAAGCTAAAATAAATTTAATTGGTATTAAACAAAAAATAGTTTCAATTGGTAACAAACAAACAAACAGACTTTAATTGGTAACAAACAAACAAACAAATACTTCAATTGGTAACAAACAAATACTTCAATTGGTAACAAACAAACAAACAAATACTTTAATTGGTAACAAACAAACAAATAAACTCCAATTGTTAAACAAACAAACTAAAAAATACTTTAATTGGTAACAAACAAACAAATAAACTCAAATTTTTAAACAAACAAACAAACAAATACTTTAATTGGTAACAAACAAACAAATAAACTCCAATTTTTAAACAAACAAAAAATACTTCAATTGGTAACAAACAAATACTTTCATTGGTAACAAACAAACAAATAAACTCCAATTGTTAAACA